TCGTGAAGTGCAAGACTTAACAAAGAGCTGAGACCTGTCTTATAGATAGTATTGTTTAAAATAGAGTTAGAGTTTAAAACATTTGCACATGTATTAAATATTATCAGGATTTGTAACTTTCCAATGTATGCCTCATTTTTATATAAAATAATTTATAAAACAATCATTAAAAAGCATTCAATGAACACTTAATTTTCAATTATACGTCTATTTATTGAAAATGCTATTCAATGCTATGGATTAATATTTCTTTGTGTATTCAAAAACTAATCTCGAAATTAAATAAAAACTTTTGTTTTGTTATTAAAACATTAATGAATAAATAATAATTAATAGCATTATGATAAAATGGGGGACAATTAATATGAAAATAGCTCATTAAATGTTACATCAAGTAATCATTGAATTAATTAATTAAACTTTTAAAGCATTTTTACGGTAATAAAACTTTGATACTTTATTTACATAAATGTGTATTTCAACGCTCAGTAGTTCAGATTTTTTATGAGCCATTAGTTTAGTGTTATTTACAAATGCAAATGCAGCAATTAAAATATTTAAAAATTAATATAGCTAATAATTAAAACTTATTTTTATTAAATATTTTTATTAAGGTAAAATATTTATTAACTTTTGGGGACTGATAAAAGTGTAATCATTAATTCGTCACAGAGTATGTGAATAGTTTAGTATTTGCAATACATCAATAACGTACTGATTATAGCGAAGGGGAGTTGCCATTATATACTCTATAATTATTTATAAAACATTACTTCCAATGATTTATTGGGGGATAACAAAAACCCCTCATTTAAATGTGAACGTGATTTATGAACGAAATGTCAATACAATAACCCTTTGAGTGCAAAAACAGTGTTTGTTTTGGTATTGAATTGAATGAGCGTTTCATTTGACACACAGTTATATCGCTTGAGACATCACTTTTGGGATCAGCTCTAGTGATGTCCACCACTACGACCACCGCTGGCACTGATATCATCACCGCTACGGCCGCTGTGGCCAATCACGAGCCGCTCCGCCAACAACAACGGCCGGTGCCGTCGCGGCCGCCGCCGGGCAGACAATCGCTGTCCACCGGACGGAAGCGCTTGACCTCAACCACGACAGCGGCGGCTAAGACTTTGTCGTCGACGGCGGCGGCCGCTAACGGCTCGAAGACATCGTTGCGGATCAGATCGGCGTCAGTCGGTATGCGATTATATATGCGTTGATTGTTGTGTTGAGGTTTGGGATCAGCTGTCAGTCTGTGTGTGTGTTGGAGATGACCCGCACTCGTGAGGGTCTTAGCGGACAACTGGTGTCCGATAGCTATTGATATGAGAGAGAGATTAGTCTTAAGACAATACATAACTAAATGCTGTTAAACTAATACCTACTGTCTGTCTGTCTCTCCCCTCCACCCCTGTATTGGTCGCCCGTATAGGCCGTACCCGTGACAGCGAACTCCGGTGCCGGTACTGGGCCTTCCTGTTCGACAATCTGAACCGAGCGGTGGACGAGATCTACCAGAACTGCGAACGGGACGAATCGGTGGTGGAGTGCAAAGAGACGCTTATGGTTCTCGACAACTATCGGCGCGAGTTTCAGGCCCTCATCGAGTGGTTGCACCTCAACATCGACTACGAGAGCAAACCGGCGCCCGAGAGGCCCACGTCTGTCGCCTGGGAGGTACGCAAGTCGGTGTCCGGACAGATGACCTTTTGGCACACTTTTTTCAGCAAAAATGGTGAGTTTTGTGGATTGGGATCAGTTTATGGTGATGTTTGGCGATCTAATTGTCTTGTTTTGCGTGTCTTCAGCTGATTTGCCACCAATTGGTGACCAGAGTTCGCCCCAAAAGCTATCTACTGATCCGCCGATTGATAGTCACGTGAAGAGTGCCAATGAGTCGATGGTCAGCGACAGCGGCAGCGAGAAGGAGAACAGTTCCCCCAAACCGGTGCTTAAAGACACTGATAAAGACGTGGACTCTATCGGTAGCGACGGATCGGTGACGTCGGATAGCGCTGAAGAGCGCCCACCCGTTGCCGCCAAAGAGCGTACCGTTAGTATCGATGGTGGGGTTAGAGTGCCGACAGACAAGCCTACGATTGCGGCCAAAGCGACCATCAAGTCCTCGGTGTCCACACCGACGCTCAATACGATGACCACTAGCTGTCCGTCAAAGCCCTTAAAGTATTGTTAATTGATTTTTATGGTGACTTCTATTGACTGTATTGTAGTTAACCATTGATTATCTCATCCGACAGTCCGTTGGCGCAGACATTCAAATCGCGATTACATCCAATGGCGCCGTCGAGTACTACCATATCATCGCATCCGCAGCCGAAACAGCAGCTGAAAGCCGTGTCATCGGCCACACCATCGCCGGCGGTGGCGGCCATTACTACCATTACTACTACTACTACAACACCGGCAGCTCAGACAAAACCCGGACAGACTCTCAGCGGTGCCTCAGCTACTGCTCCCACAGTATCTGTCAAAAGGTCTGTGGCCTCTGCTTCGCCAGCGGTTCCCGCGCCGACAGTGGCGGTCAAACCAGTGACCACTCAACCCGTTTCGCCGCCAAAGAGCGGTTCGTTAGCTAATAATGCCGGGAGTCTTAAGCGCACAGTTGTCTCGACACCCGATTTGTCTTTCATTAATAATAATAATAATAACAATAAAACTAATAATCAGTTAATTAATAGTAATAATAATAATCGTAACGTTAATAGCAATCAAAACAATAATAATAGTAATCGTAAACAAGAGGTTAAGGGAACCGTTCCGGTGATGAACAAGTCGTTCGCCAGAGAGACGAACAGTTCGCGGGCGAAGAGTGTCCGCAATTGCGATACTAATAACAACAACAATAATAATA